GGTAGTGATGCTGATAATGAGGATGTTGACGATGGTAGTGATGCTGATAATGAGGATGTTGACGATGGTAGTGATGCTGATAATGAGGATGTTGATGATGGTAGTGATGCTGATAATGAGGACGTTTATGATAGTAGTGATGCTGATAATGAGGACGTTTATGATGGTAGTGATGCTGATAATGAGGATGTTGATGATGATGGTGATGATGATAATAAGGATGTTGATGATGGTCTTGATGATGACCATGGTGTTACTGGGTGATGGTTTCAGTAATATAAATGATAAATTGACAACATTTATTAAAGCGGAAGAGGTCTTTGCTAAGGGAGAGGCCGTGTGCAGTTGCATCCAAAACTGGCCCTTCAACTTACAACATATGTAGCCCTATGGCAAGTTGTGTATCGTTGTATCGCAATACGGGCCACAATACAGCGAAAGTCGAATCCTAAAACGCGACAGGTATAACTTACAACATCGGATTGCTGAAAGAGATGCTAGATATGGCATCAAGGCAATTGTGACTAACTTCGTTTTTTGTATGTTTATAGTCTCTCCACGATTTGCATCCCACCTGCAAAACATAACCAAAACACGTGGTCAAGAGTTAAGTATCACGTGTCCAGCAAATGGTAACCCCACGCCAAAATTCCAGTGGATTTTTGACGGGAATGTCGTTGAGAATCAACAGACGTTGACCATACCAGCACTGACAGTCGACAACCAAGGAGAATATGTTTGTCGAGTGAATAACAGCATGGGCGTGGCCAGTAGCTCTTTTTATTTGCGAGCTTATAGTAAGTATTCACGGTTCTCATAATGGCTGACGAGTGCACGAAAATGCAGCCACCCAGTCATCTTGCAAGGCCAAAAAGACTGCTTATTCAAAATAAAAGTGGATAGCGCGAATTCAGGTCAAAACAAAAGGTCAATTTTCTATACTTTTCTTCCATGAACACTTTTCATGTGCTTTATATATTTTATTGTGATCTAATGATCGGGTGACCTCGTTTTCGTACACTTATGAGCCATTATGAGTGTAGTGCATAGTATATATAATTTTGTGTATAGCAATTTTTGTAGAAATTGCTTGGCGCACTTGACGTCATTTCTTGTCTCGTGCGGAATGTTTATCAGCAGAATCACAAGTTTCATTAGAAATCTTTCTGGTTGAGAGCACATGATGGTCAGTGTTTGACCACCAATTGGAGCAGATAATGGCTTTTTTCTGATCTGCTGATTGAAACCCAGCAATGGAATTCCTTCTGGTTGACAGCGTATGGTGGTCAGTGTTTGTCCATCATTTGTAGCACCATTTGGAGCAGATAACGCGATTCAAAGGGAGTACGATGTATAATATCGAATTATTTCTTGTCCAAAGTATAATTTATGAATTAAAATATTATATTTTAGGGGATAAGTATTTGCCAATAAATTTTGTAGTTCCTCAGAAGTGTGCCAACAACTTTCGTATCTCATAGCTCTACCAAATATTATCACCGCACCAACCAACGTGACTGTCGCTATCGGCTCTACAGCTAACTTTCACTGTCAAGCACAGGGAGACCCAACCCCTTCGGTCACATGGTCAAAATCCGATGTTGTGATTGGCTCAAGTGATCGCTACTCTGTTCATTCCAATGGGACGCTTTCTATCACCAAGGCAACTGGCTGTGACCAAGGGTTGTATTCGTGCCGGGCAGAGAATGCTGCTGGTCGAGATGAAAGGAAGGCTTATCTCGTGGTTACTGGTATGTTGGTATTCATCCTCCGTTTTTCCTCTTCCTACCCCCTCTTCCTAAATCACCACTCCCCACTCCACACTCCGCTTGCACCAATCCCCATCAGATGCCCATCAGAGGACCGCTATGCTGGCTATCCATCCATAAGGAAATTAAACTTCTTTTTGATAGGGAGTTCATAATATGTTTTTTTTTCTCGAGGTGATAAAATGAGCTCAGTGTCTATCTGAATAAAAGATTAATTTATTTATTTGTCTCCTTTGCCAGTATTCTTTCCTCATTCCTTCCAACCTTCCTCTCTATCCTACTCTTCCTCCTTCCCTTCCTTCTCTATTTTTTTATGTGCCTATTAATTACTGTGAATACTTCTAGATTCTCCAACATTGATTCAACATGCTTATCCTGCCTGATCGTTTTTTGTCCTTTTTCCCCCCTCAAGGTACTCAAGGCGTCACTGCATTAGCTGTCTGTGCAGCTTTCCTAGGTGTGTCGTTGGTAGTTATCGTCCTCTTGCTTCTTTACATCTGGAGGAACATTAAAAGAAAAGGCACGTATTTAAATGAATTCCTCTTCTTCTGATTCTCCGCCTTATTTCTGCATAATCTCTGTTTGTTTGTTCGTTTGTAGTTTTGCTTTTACGAAGAAACTATTCAAACATAAAAATGCACTTAGATCTTGTCATTCAACGAAACTCCAAACAGAAATTCTAACAAATTTCTTTTTCATTTAATGTCCTTGAAAAGATCCAACGGGAAATACCGAAAGGTAATTAGTTGAATATAACTTTGTCAGTAATTAAACGATGTGCTATTGACCCTTTCACTTTTCTTTATAAATCTTTGATCCATTTTCAGCGTAACCAGAAACGAAGCAGCTGAAGATCAAGTTTATGAAGTATGTTTTTTGTTAATTATCATAATTTATGTTTTCCAACCATCAGTGCTAATTACTCGGGGTTCCTGTGGAACGGCCCGAGTTATAACATTATAAAATGCAAGCCGTTATTCTTCTTAGTCGTCAAATCTGCAATTGACCACTATGGCGCATGTGTCTTATGCCGCTGTGATGCATCGAAGGTTCAGGTTTACGAATTTTGCCGATTGTCTTGCCGATCATTTGCCGAGTGATGAATGTATTATTGTTAGTGCGCATGCCATTCTGATTCGATGTACTAAATCATCGAAGGCTCTAATCGCATGGTTATTATTCAGCACGAGGCAATGCGTATTCGGTCTTGAAAGACCTTGTAGCATGGGAGGGGG